TGCACTTTCGATGTTGTTGTTATCCTGGAAAAGCTGTACCCAAATTTAAAGTAGAAGCTTTGTACTTTTCTTTTAATCAGAGGATGGTTTGATCTCTATTGGTACAAAAGAATTTGAGAAAAATGAAACAAGATTGTAGAGCAGAAGTGGAGCTAATTGGTTTTATTTCTTTGATGTGACACGCAGACATCTAGCCACCAAAACGAGAAGAAGTACAGTGATATTTCAAGTTTGTGGGAAGCTAAACAAACCCATTTTTAAGTGGTCAGATCTTACCTGCTGACTCCATCAGGACGTGGTAGTCTGTTCCCCTCTGAGCCGGCGTTTCATCATCAGGCTCCTGACGCTCCGACGCCTCGTAGCGATCCCAGTTTGACTCCAGTTTCCTCCTGGAGAAAACCTCCATGCTGTTGTCTTCCTCCTGAAAGTATTCCCCTGCATCGTGGTCCTAAAAGAAAAGGAGGAACACGGTTGGTTATACACATTTCTGGGAGGATTTGGAATAATGGCAAAGCATCTGAAAAATAATGCTCTTCCACTGTCCTGGGAAGACAACAGATATTTGTACATCTTGTTTTCCCCGTGTAGCATCTTGGGAAATGTATTTGCATTAACATGAAGCTTCTCTTGCACTATTTTATCCGTTGTATTTGTTTATGTCCTAAATAGATATTCGTGTTGCACTGTTGGAGGAGCCTGTGACGTTTTTCATTGCCATATCGACTACAATGTAGCTAATGTGCACATGACAGATCTAAAACATTTTCTATATACACAAAATAACCATTTCTCTCAAATATTGTTCACAAATCTGAAAAAATGTGTGATAGTGAGCACTTCTCCTTTGCCGAGATAATCCATCCCACCTCACAGGTGTGGCATATCAAGATGCTGATTAGACAGCATGATTATTGCACAGGTGTGCCTTAGGCTGGCCACAATAAAAGGCCACTCTGAAACGTGCAGTTTTGCTTTATTGGGGGGGTCTGGGGGGGTCCGAAAACCAGTCAGTATCTGGTGTGAGGGGTAGGATTAGGGGTAGGGTTAGGGTTAGGGTAATGTTGGGAATCGAGTGGCCTGTGTTCGTCGTCCATAACATACGCCTGCCCATACCATAACCCCACCACCACCATGGGCCACTCGATTCACAACATTACTCTAACCCTAACCCTACCCCTCACACCAGATACTGACTGGTTTTCGGACCCCCCCTGACCCCCCCAATAAAGCAAAAATGCACATTTCAGAGTGGCCTTTTATTGTGGCCAGCCTAAGGCACACCTGTGCAATAATCATGCTGTCTAATCAGCATCTTGATATGCCACACCTGTGAGGTGGGATGGATTATCTCGGCAAAGGAGAAGTGCTCACTATCACACATTTTTTCAGATTTGTGAACAATATTTGAGAGAAATGGTTATTTTGTGTATATAGAAAATGTTTTAGATCTTTGAGTTCATCTCATGAAAAATGGGAGCAAAAACAAAAGTGTTGCGTTTATATTTTTGTTCAGTGTAGGTTCAAGGTTCTTTATTTGTCATACGAACATAGTTACACAGTAGTTAATCTTAGGTCACAGGCTTCTCCAACAGTGCAACACAATAATACAGAAAAACTGAAAAATATAGTGCAAGTAAATATTAAAAATTAAATAGAAAAGAAAAATAGTTTAAAAAAAGTGAGTCTATATGCAAGCTATTGGAATGATATATTAGATAAATAGATAAATAATGACTAAGTAGCAGATGAATGTTATGGCTGTTGTTACAACAGTTCAGTTGTTTAACAGTCTTATTGCCTGTGGGATGAATCTGGTGGTTTTTGTCCGGATGCTGCGGTAACGCCTGCCAGACGGTAGCAGACAATACACCATCTTTCCAGAAGCTTTCATAAAAGGCTAAGCTGCATATCATTCAGCTTGGGTAGATTGAACAAAGAAATGTCAGATTGTGTGAAAAAGTCATCCTGCCTTCGTTTTTACAAACTACAAAAAGTCTCACTTTTGTTTGAAGCTAGCTATGAGTCAAGCTTTTGCCATGGCAGCGCCACACAAAGGAAGTTATTCAAAGAACATTTTGTTAAGTGATAATTACCACATAGCTCTTATTCATGATTGGTAGCTACGGAAGGGTCAAGGTAAACTGGTACGTCGTTCTCAATGAAAAATAATAGACGTCAAAAACGGAACTAATGAAATGTCTCTGCGTCATAGATTCCTTTCTGCTTTGTCAAATAGCTGCAGAAACCTTCACCAAGGTTGTCAGGGAAATGTGTCCACAGAAAGTTCAGTTTTTCTTGAACTCAAACACAAAAACAGAACAATTTCCATTGCAACAGTATCATCAAAGACCCCATGGTAACAATGGATCCATCAAAGCAGACTTTCCCATGATTGCAATCAAGGAGCCGCTATGCACCTAAAAGGAGATTTGTATGATTGCAATTACAGAGTCCCTATTGTTTCCATTCTGTAGTTACCATGGCAGGAGCATCTACTGACAGAACGGCCGTAGAGCTTTCATCTCCGAGGCACAATGATATTGTTGAGGAGCTTCATCACTATGATTCCTCTCTCAGTCTACCTCCGCTGACAGGAGCTCATTATGTTAGAGGGAGATGAAGATGTGATCAAGATGACACACACCTGCTTCTCTACTGTACAGCAATCAACCAGTTCGTCAAACTTATTTATGTTACATTCTTTTCTAAAAAAAACCACATTATGAACATTATTTTGAAAGTGTTAACAATGTTCGGTACCAGTCTCTGCAGATTAGGAAATCAATGCAGCTGTAAATGTACAGATTAGGCCTTAACACAAAATAAAATATCGATATACCAAGATAGGAAAACAAAAACACAACACTGATTTATAACTTGTTTGACAAACTTATTTTTTTTATATCACTTTTGTCTTTCTTTTAAATGCTTACAATGCTCGGTACCAGATTATGTTGGTGCAAAAGAGGTAACCACTACACTGAAATGAATGCAACTCTAGGCCGAATTGAAGAGGACGTGCAAATGAGTTTTACATCACAATCTGAGGAGTGTGTGCATTTTCTTGGCGACACAACTAATAAATTACTATTTGATACACAGCGGTTTGGCAGAGTGGTGTAACGGGCAGTAATGTAAAGTAATTAAGTAGATTTAGTACTCAATTTTAAGGGACTTGAGTATTTAAATGTTGTGCTACTTTGTACTTTTGCCCCACTACAATTCATAGGTAAATCATGTACTTTTACTCCACTACATGTATTTAATACCTTACTTTACAGATTTGGATGAATGATGTGAAACATAATCAACTCTTAAATCAGACTTTAGTTCCACCTGGAGTAAATTCACAAGCTACCCTGCCGTATAGAAAGTCATTCAAACTAGCTGCACCTTTACCAGCTTTGAGAACACTTTAATGATTCAAGAATTATAAAACATATCATATATATTATTCTGAAATGGACAAATCTGCATAATGAGTACTATATTTACTACTGTATTTTGATGCTAATACTTTTCTACTTTTACTTGAGTAACATTTAGACTGCAGGACTTTTACTTCTAACAGAGTATTCCTACACCCTGCTCCTTCTACTTAAGTACAATATCTGAGTACTTCTACTTTTGCGTAAGTACAAGACCTGAGTACTCTTCTCTTGAGAGAACTTAATCTCTGGTAACGAGGGCAGTTGTTATTATACATCTTTTTTTTGTAGAAAACTTTATTTAAATAGTGTTGTCAATACATAATAGACATACACAAAACACTACATTGAAAATACACACAACACATAATTTAGGAAGACGTACTTATTTCAGAGGGCAGAGGTGCAGAAAGTGCATTGTCCGATCGTCTTTGTTCAATCACAGACTCATTATGGTCATTATGGTTATTATACATCCATGGGGCAGCCTGTGTAACTTCTTACCCGGGGATGGAGCTCCGCCCTCGGGTCGCTTCCCCCACGTCCTCGGCCCCGGTAATGGTCTCTTTTCCCCCGGCCTCGGGTCTGTCCTCCTCTCCCTCTGCCCCGGTGCTCACCGCCTGAACTCTCTCCGTCGTTTCCCCCGCGGCCGCCTCTTTTCCAGCTGCCTCCTCTGCCTCTTCTGAACTCCATTACTGTTGTCAACCGTGGCCGGACACTTTAGCGTGTAACACTTCAAAGTTGAGCGGAGTGAGTGTTACATGGAATTGTGTCCGACAGCAAAATGTCGTTAGATGGTTCCAAATCCTATTTTGACCAAAACAATAAAAGTAATCTGTTTTTTTAAGTAAAGACCATAGGTAAAGACCATAGACTGTATGTAAAGACACAAAAGGCATGTTTAAGTTCCAGAATTGAATGTCATTTTTGTATTGTATTGTAATTGGAAAACAAAATTGCCCAAAATTCAGGCAATGAAGGCCATAATAGCCTACAGTAGATTACACCAAAACAGAGACATAAATAATTAAATTGAAATACAGAAATAAAAAGGTCAAACCAAAAACTGCTGCATGGTTTGTGAGCAAACATGAATAAAAAAGGTTTTAAAAAGCTTGTTTTCACTAGATCTCATGCATTCAATTATATGATCTGAAGTTTATTAAATTACATACATTTCAAAGCAGCTTCAATGTTTTTTCTTATGAATAAACAATTGTTCAATATTTTTTTGCATTTCTAAAGTAACATACTTTACTCTTTAAGTTTAAAACACAAATATAATACATTTTAGCAAATAGATCCGATAATTAGTTACATAAGAACATAAGAAAATACACATAAGACATGTGATATTGCTGCTTCCAAAAAAAAAGAGAACTTAAACATATGTAAATAAATACAGAACAAACCACAATATTAATAGAACAAAAGTGTAGACCTATATAGGTGTAGTTTTATAACCCCTTGAAAATGGTGTATCAACAGGGGTTTAACTTTACATAATAACAATTTTACCAACAAATTACAATGTGCAATTGTGTCTGATTAATGTGTGTCTTTGTATTTCAGGATAACTCTTAATGGAACCAACATTTGGAGCCTTCCTCTGACCTGTCAACAATAACACGGACACATAACAACATGGATGTAAATCCTCCAAACAACACTTTTGCCAACACCTCACACGTCCAGATGTCTTCCCACAACGTGTGGGAGGTTATAGCGATCGCTACCGTGTCAGCCATTGTCAGCTTGATAACGGTTGTTGGTAACGTGCTGGTGTTGCTGTCCTTCAAAGTCAACAGCCAGCTGAAGACTGTCAACAACTACTACCTGCTGAGTTTGGCTTTCGCTGACCTCATCATAGGAGTGTTGTCCATGAACTTGTACACCACATACATCCTGATGGGTTACTGGTCCTTGGGAAACCTTGCATGTGATCTCTGGCTGGCGGTGGATTATGTAGCCAGCAATGCTTCGGTTATGAACTTACTCGTCATCAGCTTTGACAGATACTTCTCCATCACCAGGCCGCTGACTTACAGAGCTAAAAGGACTCCAAAGAGAGCCGCCATCATGATCGGCCTCGCATGGCTGGTGTCTTTTGTCCTCTGGGCGCCACCCATCCTGTGCTGGCAGTACTTTGTAGGAGAGAGAAACGTGCCTTCTGACCAGTGCCAGATCCAGTTTTTAACAGAGCCTGTGATCACGTTTGGTACGGCCATTGCTGCTTTCTACATCCCTGTCTCCGTGATGACCATCCTTTACTGCAGGATCTACAAGGAGACGCAGAGACGCACCAAAGATCTGGCAGAACTGCAAGGCTTAGCAAAGGAAAATGTTCTGGAGGGGACTAAACCTCAGAAAACCATCATTCACTCTTGCTTTCATTTCACCAGAGAGAGGCGAGAACGGAGTCAGGCCTCATGGTCGTCCTCTAACCAAAGTAACGTCACTAAAATGACAACTAGATCAGACGATGCATGGGTGAAATCTGATCAGATCACCTCCTTTAACAGCTACTCCTCATCTGACGAAGAAGAGCAGCATGTTTCAATAGAAACCCCACAGGGATCATTCAAAGAGCAAGAGAGTGTTCAGAGTAATAAGAACGGGCAGGTGGGGGATTACACAGAAGAACTGTTCTCCACTCCTAAAAAGAAGAGCAGTAAAAAAAAGTTGTCTTATAAATTCAAACCTGGCTCCAAGCCTAAAAACGGCAAACCTAAAACAGCGTCACCCTGCCTGCCTGAAGCAGAGCAGCCTCCCAAAACCGCCTCCCCTTCGGCCTCCTCCACCTCCAAACCCCTGGACCCCGTCCTGAAGAACCAGATCACCAAGAGGAAGAGGATGGTGCTGGTGAAGGAGAAGAAGGCGGCGCAGACTCTCAGCGCCATCCTCCTGGCCTTCATCCTGACATGGACGCCGTACAACATCATGGTGCTCATCTCCACCTTCTGTGCCGAGTGCATCCCCACGTCGCTGTGGCACCTGGGCTACTGGCTGTGCTACGTCAACAGCACCATCAACCCCATGTGCTACGCCCTCTGCAACAAGACTTTCCAGAAGACCTTCCGCATGCTCCTGCTCTGCCAGTGGAGGAGGAGGAGGAGGAGAGGCGAGGACAAGCTGTACTGGTGCGGACAGAACGCAAACGCCAACAATAAAGTGACTTGATGTGGCACATGTTAATATTAGAGCAGACGTGTGGATGTTCTTGATGTATTCTGTAGTCAGCGGTCATCTTCAGCATGAAGTGCTGCATGTGGTTTTTGTGTTAAAGTATACTTGTTGGTGGAAAATTAGCTGAGCCTGATGCAGAACTTAAACTGCTGCTCCATATTAGAAGGTTGCTATACAGTCTTACAAAGGTTTAAATCAACTTTAAGATGAGAACTGAACCCATTTTATAGTCTTGGGGAATACGACTAATTTCACCAAAGTCATGAATTTCCAATGTTCATTTTTTTGAACCGACATGTTGTTAAACAAAACTCTTTCTAGATTTTTTTGTTGAATTATCTTACACTTTCAATTTTTTTTTGTAAAAACATTGCAAGGAATTCAACATTACATTTCTATAGAGGAATATGAAATGAATCCCTATTGTAGTCACACTTTTAAGCTTGAAGGAATCACTTCCACACCAATGTAGACAGGAGGAATGATAACAGGACCTTGTAAAAACATACTTTTAACGTATTTGCATTAGAGTAAAAACTCTGAACTGGTCCTTTAAACTTCATGTTATCCTCCTATATTCTTTCACCCACTTGCACTGTATATAGGACATACTGTAGGCGTACACATTTCAAAGTAATTAATAAATAATAGTTCACTGATTCTGTTTTACACCCAAATGTATAAATTGCTGAATGTATATCAATGTTGTGTTTTCCTATCTTGGCTCTGGCAAATCGATATTTGATCTTGTGTTTAAGGGCTAATCTGTACATTTCTGTGCATTTAAGTAAGAGATTGTTTATGGATCACACCTCTTCTTTCTGTCACTATTCAGATTACTGTAAAAACTTCAACACAAGGTATTTTAACCGAATTAAGCCGACCACCATGTCTCTCTAAACGATGACTGATGCTGTTGTAAATGATTGCACTTCTATCGTCTTTTAATGATGTAATGTCAAAAGTTATCTCCCTGAACTGTGCCTTTTGTTCTGCCGAGAAGCAAGAGAGCTTTTTGATTGGATTTGTGCTCATTGTCTGTGTGCAGTTTTGTGAAAGTGAGTCTGTGTGTTCTGATATGAACAGTAAAAAACAACTCGAAGGCAGAAAATCACTTTTGTCAGCATGAACCTTTTACATCAAGTGTTGAATCTTGCTTTGTACTTGTATTTATTTTTTAATAAAAAGATTGCCAATCATTACCCGCTCCAATAGTTGATAGCATGGATGAACGTTACAGCTAGAATGACACGGTACTATTGATACCTTTGGTTGGTAATTTTATATAATTTTCCTTTTGCCATCATAATAAAAGACCAAAACCAACAATAACTGATTTTAATAACCTGTGTAGCCAATACTTAATATGGTGTATTCCTCTGTATCATTACATTACATGTTAGACGCTTTGATCCAAAGCGACTTACATACTCAATATTGTGGACAATCCCCACAGGGGTTTGAACCTGTGACCCCCTGATCCGAACACCTACGGACAACCCACTACGCCACACGACTCCTATCATAACCCTCCATTGTCCAAACACTTAAAAAATCACAAGAATAAAGCACTCTTTTTCACTGGGTTACATGTTTTTATTACAATGACCATGGAACTGGTTTGAAGTAAATCCCCCCAAAAAACATTATGCTGCTGTAAGTACATACAGTAAGTGCAACAGTTGGAAATTGTCTCATATAGATATATGTTCTCGTGTTTGAGTAGCATTTGCTAAAAACTACAGTCTCAACCTGTTTTAATAAATCCTTTGCGATATGCATGAGCTTTTTATTTTATTTTTTAAATGTCTTCATGTATCAGTCGCTTGGGGAAATGTTTAGAGATGGATTAGCATTGTTGGTTTTTTCGTTTCCAATGGGAATCGTTAGGTTTCTTTATTTGAACAGGTTCAATGCACAAAAGGACTTTACCTAATGTAGAATAAGGACAAATGGACAGTACCAGGCTTTCCTCTTTAATAAAAGTTAAGTTACAATAGCGACTTTTTTTAATAGCAAACACACAGCTCTATCATTACATTCCAATTAGTAAACCATTAGCAGTGGTAATGTACAGTATGGAAATACTGACCATACATTATGCCACACATAAATTAAAAGAAAATAAGAAGGCCATGTGTCCCCTCTCAAACAAAGATGGTGTGAAATAAAAACAGTTGTTATCATGTTGTCACATTGCAAATTTATTTATCTAGGCTTTTTTTTTAAATAAGGATTTATTAGTCTTAAAATTCATGTAATATTCATTCAGTCATATCACAGGGGAAAAAAAAAACATGAACATCTCTGTATATATGATTTCTTTCAGGTAGTAGAATTAGCAGCAGTGGAGAGAAAAAGCACACCAGAGGGTTAGCACAGAAAAGATGGGTGAGTAGCAGAGCCACATTTAGAAAGTATAGAGCAAATGAAGGAAAACAGCTTTGCAGGGTTTCAGACATTTCTATCAGTGCAGTATGAAAAAGATCATATTTTTTTCTCAGTCTCCAATAGCATATTAGAAATCAAGATGTGCTTAAAACATCTAATAATAGAGAAACTGTACAATTGACCCGGAGGGAAAAAAAATGACACTTAAAAATCTTGCTTCCACGGCATAACTCGTTCTTTCTTTAAGCAGAGTGAGGAGGACTTGCTGTACTACCTCCTCTTCACAGCCGGCCTGGTGCCTTTGCTGGTTATGGCCTTAGTGGAGGGCTTGGAGCCGCCGGAGAACAGCTTGGTCATGAGCTCGGAGACGTCTGGCAGCTCGGGGTTGGGGTTCAGCATGTTCATGGACTGCTCCATTTCCTGTAAAGACAGCAGAGAAATGAACACAGATGTAGATGATGAACTGAAGGCTGGGGACTAGGGATGCATACCGGTATCCGGTATTACCGAAATACCGGTTACGGTATACCGTACCGAAATCAGATCCGGTTTCGATACTTTAAACATTTATTTTAAAAGTGAGTCCGTGGCCCGTGATGGCGGGTGTTATAAATTAGATTCATTGCATAATCGTTTTTCTTCATATTTTATGTATCTTTCATTGTTTGTTCAATACTAGAAAGGTAAAAGTCCCACAAATGAACTGTGATGGGATTTGTTTTCTCTCACCAGTGAAGGCAAATGTTGATTTTAAAGATGAGATTTGTTTGTTTGTGCAATGCCGAGATCTCATGACCATTATTCTATTATGTATTTGTTCTCTAGTCGAATCTCAGGTTTAACATTAATTATAACGGTGCTATAACGGTCTGTTTGCATTGACAAGATGTGCTATTCACGCGGCACACCTGATGGCGGGTGTTATAAAAGATATTCCATAATCGGTTTTCTTCATATATTTTATGTATTTTTCATTGTTTGTTCAGTACTAAAAGGTCCAAGAAGTCCCACAATTGAATTTAATATTCATTTGACATGTTAACTATATCGTAAAGCGCTTCATGGGAGTAATTGTGGGATGATACATTTTCAAAGTATCACGATATGTATCGGTTGAGTATCGGTATCGGGATCGTAAAAAAGTCAACGATATGCATCCCTACTGGGGACAGACTCCGGAAAGCCTTACTGATTAAAAATAATCCCCCCACAAAATGATATGCTAACGTGGAAGGAAACTGACTATTTGTTTCAGGAAATTACACTAGTAAAAATTAATACATTTTAATAAACCTGAATCCTATTAACCTGAGAGAAATCAGAATCAGGTTTATTGCCAGGTAGGTTGACACGTACGAGGAGTTTGACTTGATGTCATGGTGCAGTAGGGTTGGGAACCGAAACTCGGTTCCAGATGAGAACCGATAAGAAAATGCCAGGTACCGGGTACCCATACAAAATACACAATTTCGGTTCTGCTTAACGGTTCCTAAACGCGGTAGACCCTGTATTCCAGCGGGTCCGTCTGCACCGCGGTGCTGCGGTGACCCGGTGGAATACAGGGCGGACCTGGAGAATCACAGAACGGCCGGTCGTCAGCGGGCCGGCTCGGTACGCTGACGGCCGGCACCGCCCTTCATTTTTTTAAACGGCATCATATAAATTGCGCTGACAGGCGACAGAGGTCCACAGTTGCCCCGCAGCGATGCTCCCCCGCCCTCCCGTAGACATTTCACGAGCTCAGTCACTTCATAACACCAAAGATAGGTCGCGGTAAACACTCTGAAGTGAGGCTCCACTACACTAAAAAAGAAAAAGAAAAGGCAAAGTGTAATGCCTGTTAATAGCTTGCCACAGGCATAGCTCAGTTAAAATAAAGCACAGCTATTGTGCAATACATTTGTATTGCATGTATATTTTTTAGTAACAATTTCAGTTAAAGCTTTTAAGAATAAATATATTTTTGTTATCTAAACGTTTGACCTCTTTATTTTACAATTTTGGAATCGAAACGGGGAATCGATAAGAACCGGAATCGATAAGCAGAACCGGAATCGGAATCGATAAATTTCAAACGATACCCATCCCTATGGTGCAGACATAAAAGTCAAACAAAAATGTAAAACACAGATAAAGAACTATTTTAAGAAAAATATAATAACATTGAAAAATACAAAATATAGTAAAAATATAGCAGTATTTAAATAGAAATAGAATGGAATAAAATATGGAATACAATTCGGAAGTAATAGTAAAAAAAGAAAAACCAATATTGCTGATACAACTCTTCCGACTGTTGAGGATCCGTTACCTTTCTCATCTCTGGGTCATTGGTGTTGACCACCTTGGGCAGCAGAACGATGATCAGCAGCGGCAGAACCATCATCATAACCTGCAGGAGCAACAGAAACAATTCATTAAAACAAGAGAGCCAGAAGCACAGGAACTATCTTTGACACTTTTATCCAGTATGTATAGAATGGTATGAACTGTAAAATGATGCTGATAATGAAGTCAAACACGAGCAACCTACACCAAATGATGCCTAATAAGAAGATTTAAGGAACACACAGTTTGGTTTCTCCACTGAATTAGGCAGTTAATCTCTCTTCTGGTTAATGCATTTGTAATGGTTACTGTTTGGTAATCAGGCGAAGGTTTGGTTCTATTAAGGTGAGGAAATGATATGCATAACAGTAAACAATTAAAAGTGTTCTTCAGGCTTTCCTGAATGAATCTAAACGTTCACTAATCTCAATCTAAACACATATTAGAAATCTCTCCTGAGGGTAAAGATCATACATATTCAGAGAAACAAAAGCAATTTCCTTACCATTGGGTTCATGAGGAAGTCGGTCCATCCCCAGGTTTCTCTCTTCATGAAATAGGTCTGAGGGCCATTTGCTCTGATTTGAAGAGGGTATGGCTGGCGGATGACTTCTGAGGTCTTAATGTAGTTCACAAGACGCGCCCTGTCAAATGACTCATGGTTAATTCAGTGGTTAGAGCTTCCTCTATTCAGTAAGCCGAATAATCAGGCCAACATTTGGGTTTCTCACTGTAGGGAAGTCTTACCTCATTTTGCCTTTTGATGTGATGTCAACTCGCACTGGCTCAAATCTATAGTTAGGGGTTATAACTTCCACAACATAGGATCCGGAGGGGACGTCATTCACAGCAAAACTGCCATCAGTTCTGTAACAAAAATTGGACTTAGTCAAGATACACATGTAATAAATTCAGTTCATAACAAGCTCATACTTCTTAAAATAAATACCCTTTAAAAAAGCTCTTGAATCATCTGGAAAATGCATCGGCACAACGCACACAAAGAGGAATGTTTTTCTGAACTCATGAAGAGAGTTACACACACACGATGATCGTATAATATAAAATGCATTGTTGTAGATTAAACAACCCCACAAAATAAAGTCAAAATGTGCACAACATCTACTGCAGTAAAATGCAAGATACACATTATTGCAGCGGTCATATTAATGAAGAAACATCACATACATTTTCCCAGCTAATTGAGTACTTTTCCTACACACTTTTGCTGGTGATTCTTACATACTTTATTGCAAGTTGTGAATGCATGGATTGTACTGTGTGGGGTATTCACACGTGGAATCCTGTTTGTATTACTAACAAATTCACGTAAGAGCATGTCAACGTTGTAGTGTATCAATGTGGGTCCAATTCACTAATGATTTACTTTGTAAAATACTAGGTATATTAGCAGTACAGTACTATTATTATCATTTATCATGGATAGTAACGAAGGGTGTTGAATAAATGAATTGGAGTTAAAAGTACAGTGTTTGTCTCCAAAACGTAGTGGAGTACATTAGATTACATTATGTCACTTGTTAGACGCATTATGTAGAATAAAATACAATGACTCAAGTAAAGTACACGTTTGTCAGAAGTCTACTTGAGTACAGTACTTGAGTATATGTACCTAGTAACTTTCCACAACTGAATATTACCTTCATAACATCAGTGTTGCATCAACAGACGTGTCTCGTGCAGCTAAGGTTTGTTATGGTTACAGCGACAATGAGGCCTGGCTGAGCTCAACATGCAATACACAACTAAGTTCAGTGACAGGTAGGTACAAATGAAATAACCGTGTTGTTGTCCATGTTGGCACAAGTTACCTTCACAAATATTAAGCTGTTAGTTAGCACGGTGATAAATTGCCATCTGCCGACAGCAACTTCCGTGCGGTTAGCCGGCTAGCTTCGAGGCTAATGATACCTTAGCCTCGCTAATAGGCTAGGTAGGGGTTAGTGTATTAAAAGCTGTTTCTTACCTCACAAAGCCCACGAACTCTTCACCTTCAACGAATATTCTGGCCGAGGAGACCCAATCTTGTGTTTTCACCCCGGGAACCACCGCTCTTCCCTCGATTTTGAACCGATCTCCATTGGGCTGTTGGACCGAAACACCTGCACCACCAGGCCCCGTTTCCATGTCAGAGAAACCCAACGCCACGACGAGCACAGCCTGGAGGAAAACCCATAGCAGCGGTATTCTGTCTCTGTGCAACATGTCGACTGTCCTTATCAAATTAAAATGTGGTCTAACTGGATGAATTCAGGAGCAGTTTGACAGAAGGAGCGAGAGACCCGAGCTCATCAGCTGTCTCTCTGCGGAAGATGACGTCACTTCAAATACAACTTTATTGACCAGACCGACGTTCACACTCTGTTGACGTTCACTGTGTAATAAGCAATTGTTTTGCAGAATAAAAATGATGACAATTTAAAGTAGTCAGTTATTTTTTTAGATTCATAAATGTTGTTTTTTAAACGAATACAGTACAGCTGTATAATTCCTTAGTTGCAAATAAATATAATTTCAATTCTATATGAAATGATAAAGCAAATGAAAATGCTTGTTTCATTTTTACATTAAGATTTGTTTTTGTCTTTATAGAAAATGAACCAAAACACTGACAACGAAGATTTTGGTAGATATTTATGCAAACAAATATGCAACCAAATGAACGTCTAATCCTTAATATTAAAACAATATGGGGTTTGAAATGAAATCAAACACAATAACAACATGTTTACCAAATATTGAGTTAAGGATGATCTAATCCAGGGGTGGGGAACCTTTTTCCTCTCAAGGGCCATTTCAATTTTTTCAACATCCTCCGAGGGCCGTACAAATTATTGACCTCTGCTTAAAAATACTAAAATCACAGCCCATTCATTTCACCTTTCTTTCATGCTGTGCAAAGAAAAAGCAACCTCTTAATCCAGATATCTGGCCATGACTCACGTATGCATTCACGTGCACAGTTGTGGCATGACCACCCAAACAGAAAGATATGGACACAAGATGTGTGCAAATGTATTTAGTTTCCTATCCATGTGGACATGATTTAAGTGGGGGGGGGGACCTAACCTCCTCTAGGGGGGTCAGGGGGGCATGCTCCCCCGGGAAGATTTTTTTTTAAATGTTGAAGTTAAAAGCATCAATCTGGTGCACTTTGGGAGCAACATGAGGAGACCTATGGATACATCTCTCAACACCCATATGAAACAGAACTGGAAGCAGATTTTCTTTTTCTTTATGGATATTTTACAAATCACTAACCTTTCAAACTGTATTCTTGTTTATTAATAACAACTTTTTTTTACTGTCATATTGTATACCTGTTTACTTTATTCTCTTATTTTTGTATAACTATAATGATCATATAAAGATGTGCCTTTACCTCACTGGTTGTAGAAAAAGCTTCTTATATTCGTTAGCATAGCTAGCTAACCAGATGCTAATAACAACAAAGTTATTGACTGTATGATCAGTATGACAGATGAACAGATCGCCACTGGGATTACAACTAAAGACACAGACACGCAAAAACTGCAGCATGTGTACGGCTCTTTATGGGTACTGCACATTTTGGAAGTGCCGGAGCGGAGCGGCGTTCTGGTGCTCCCCGTCAGAACTACACCCCTGTCAGACGAGACATATACGTGATGACACGTTAGGCTTGTGTTTTGCGTGTGTTTATAAATTACCTCGAGGGCCATACCAAATGGTCTCGCGGGTCGTACACGGCCCGGGGGCCGGAGGTTCCCCACCCCTGATCTAATCGTACACATATACAGCTAAATAGTCATATGTTGGTTTTCTTTAATTAAACCTAATATTTTGTTCTTTGACATTACATTTCATTTGGCTGACGCTTTTATCCAAAGCGACTTACAATAAGCGTTCGACCAAGAAGATACAAACTTGAAGAAAACAGAATCATATAAGTACATCAGGTTTCATAGAGCCAAACATTTCAAGTGCTACTCAACTGGCTATAGATAAGCCAGTCCTTTATTAGTATACAAGTGCTTTGTTAGTAATTGTATCCTCGAAGTGGAGTCGAAGGAGATGAGTTTTCAGTCTGCGCCGGAAGATGTGTAAGCTATCTGCTGTCCTGATGTCAATGGGGAGCTCATTCCACCATTTTGGAGCCAGGATAGCAAACCCACGTGTTTTTGCTGATGGGAACTTGTAATACTAGTTTCATGATTGTGCATCCATTAACAGCTAAACACTTATGATGAAAAGAACATCTGAACTTATGATTGATAAACTTGTAACAAAAAGAAGTGTACCAACTACAAACAGGAAAAGCTGAACAACTAGTTTGGCTTATTAAGCAAGATCACAAGGGAAGAGCTATGCCAAAAGTTTACTTGTTTCCTTACAGTGACTGCTTCATTTGCCAAATGATGTCCTAATTAAAAAACTAATCTGTCTGAGCCATTGTTATTGTACCTTTTAAATATATAAACACATACCGATCACCTTAAAAAGAATCTGAAAGAATACATTATTGATTTTTATCAAATTTATTTAAAAGATTAAAAGAATCACTTGTGTTTACATCACGCGTAATACAGTCGAATGTCATGAAGAGGCAAATTGAAATCAGGAGGAGCTCTAATAACTTAAGACTGTTGCTGATTCAAGTTCCTGATTCAGAGGAACCAAGGCGCGAAAAAACATTAAAACAGGAGCATTCATTACATCCACAAGTGCATTTGCATTCAATGGCAAAGAGTGGTGTAGTGAGAGACGACGAGCTAGGCACTTCATAGAGCGACGTTACACCCAGTCTCATGGAGGTCCACTAAATATGCCCCTTCACAGGAAGGTCCACTTCAATGTGAAGCAGTCGTTTGCCGTGTGTGTGTGTTTTGCAGAAAGGCTCTCAGCCCTTCTTCAGAGTCTCCACCTCTAGCTGAGGGAGTTGCCTGAATTGTCAAGTTCGTTCCCAGTAAAAGAGGTTTGGGTGTGAATGGCCCATCCATTTCTCTGGTATCACTATAAGTTCAAAACACAGACATGATCCGGCAGTAGTGGTCACATCCTCAGAGTGCTACGAGAACAGCTGTCAGGGCAGCTGCGATAGATAAGACTGGATGGCCTACGACAAGAACAGGAGATAACACATTAGTCGTCTTTACAGAGAGTTTAACAGTGCACAAACAAGATATGATTTAAATACTATCTACACCAAAACCCGACTATTAAAAAGGGGGATGTGGCTTTCTGCAACCAATTCTTGACTTGTATAACCTGTACGTCTCTTTAAATCCTTTTATTAAATTGCAGGATGTGAATATAGAAACAAATGAACCACAATAGAAACTCAACTCATATTACATGTGCTTATGCTATTAACCATAAGCAAACAGTAAGCCTATAGAGGACCTGGAGGTGTTTATTTTTAGAACGGGAGTGTCTACCCAAAATCAACAAAGGGTGGAAAATACAGAAGCACTAGAATGCGTCTTTGTGACACAATGTTCAACTCAAAACACGTTGAGCATGAAAGTAGAACAAGCAGACAACCCAGGCAAAGCTTGACAATGAACATTTAAAGAATACATCTTTTGAGGGATGGTTAAATGTAATTTAACTTATCCAGTCCAGGCAAATCATTAACAGGAACTTCCTTATTCTGAAAATCCCTGATAAGTAATATATGAATGTCCTCCTTCTCACCTTTGCCAGTTCTCCAGTAGATCCTGGAAGCAAACATGACCGGGCTCCTTCCTTCCACAAGTCCTTCAGCCGCTGCTTCATGACTTCAATATTCCTGCAATCAATATACACACATGACAAATGCAATACGTGGAGAGTGCAAACAGGACATGAGTCAGTGACCGTAGAAACACCAACACACACGCTCTGCTACAAGACCTCCGGACACAAGCTCACGTTTAACTCAGCAGCATAAAAGCAGGTCTTACCAGAAAAATACATTTGAGACACATGCTTGAGTTCATTAATGTCTACTGTATAACTAAAAGTGTTTGTGCCCATTTTCATACCATGATCAGTATTTCAGTTTGGTGAGGTTCATAACCAACTGAACGCTGAGAAAACGCCTTTTTTCTGCACGTTGTTTAAATGACTAGGCAAATAATGGAGGATGTGAATACACTGGTACAAATGTGGTCAACGGAATCTTTGGTGCCATTTTGAATTTCCCTATTGAAAATGACACAGCAATGTGCCCGAGGCCTATTGTAAACTCTATTTTGACAAAGTCATTTGTTTCAATAACAAAACCCAACATGCACATTCACCATGACCCCAATGCAATATTAAGAAGTAACAGGATTAGTGAATGGCAAAATAACAATAAATAACACAAAGTATTATATTATTACGGAAGATATATCGAGTCTGCTTCTTAAAAATAAATATAGTATCCTATGTGGAGGTTATTGCCATTTGTCTTTCCGAAGAAACACTGAAGAAAGTTGTTTATTTTATGAAGACATCCGACTTGTTCATGTAAGTTTATTGTGCTCAGTTTCCACTGGGCTAGTTTGCAGCATTTCCTTTGGTTGTAATAAAACATTTGGATAGTGTGAAAAACGAGAAATGTTAGGCTTACAGGTGGGGTATGTAATTTTGGAGAAACCAGCTCGAGTGCGTTAGAATTTGAAAATACACAACCGGAAAAAAATCTGCCACTTCCTTCAGACTTCCTCACAGAGCCCCTCCTCCAACACACACGAATGCGCACATGACCAATGAGGGCACGAGATAAGTTTGTGCACAGATGGAAGGCTGACAGGCAGGTAGGCCATCCAGTTACTTTAGCCGGGCCGGCTCAGATGATTGGTCGTGCTTTTTACAGCGCCACGGCTTCCACAGATGAAATGTTTTTATTGTCAAAGCATTTAAGATATTCATTGCTATCGGGATGTTAAGAGCATTCCATGGAATATAACAAGTGTTTCTGGAGTGAATTACCTACCCCACCTTTAAGATTGAAAGTATCTGTGTGTCTTGGTTGTATTTAAGCATGCATAGCCCACCTGTCTTCTGAACTGTCCCGCAGTCTCTTCTCATTCTTGAGTTCTGGCCACCATTTCCTGATGACGGATTGAACCCAGTGTAAACCCACCATTATGTTTCTGTTAATAAAACAAAACAAATACAATTAAAGCCGACAAGTTTGTCAAATTACAATTTTAAAGATATCTAGCAAACGTTTCCAGGTCATAATAAACAGGTTTTAAGTCACAGGGACACTTACTCTTCATATTTACTGGCAAGAATCACTTTCACTAGGGGCATGAGGTCAACACAGCAGCCAAGTGACAAACATGGTGCTTCAGTTTGAAGACTGACGGGAAACAAGAAAACACAAGAGAGAAAGACAGTTAGTGAGCTGATTTTCAAAAATGTGAGCAGACGGAGGGAAAAAACTAAACAATCTTAAACGTTGACTTTAGTCTAATTGCATTTCAGCTTGTTATAATCAATAGGGATGCTCCTATCGCCAATTTCGGGGCCGATCGCCGATCGCCGGAATCAGTATCGGCCGATGCCGATCCGATCGAGTGGGCGGGGCCCAAATGGAAGATTTAAACATCACTTTAAATCTTCCATTTAAAATGATGTTTAAAACTCAGTTAATGGGGCTCATTCACTGGAGCTTCCACAAACAACAATCAACTTAATTATTACATTCAAATGATGTACATTATTCAAGTTTACATTCACTTTGGATAATAACACGGGAGAAATTAGCGGAAGCGCTCTCTTTTCCTCTCTCCCTCCCTCCTGACAGCCTGTCAGTATCTCATGCAGCTCACTGATCCAGTAATGAGTGACCCGACAATGAAGAATACATATATTTATAATAACTAGTTTAGCTTGTTCCAGAGGTAGATAAAATAGCTAAGTGTGTTAGGTCTAACTCTTACAGTACGTCCACACAGCAGCTTTTCAAAAATCTTGAAAATCTTGGAGCTGGGCGTGTCTGAAAGCTTGGGGATTTTTTGCGAGCAACACGACCAACAACCAATCACATGAATCTCCCGCCCCCGACATACAAAGCAAAAAACCCCGGGGATTTTATGCGAGCAATATATATATATATATATATATATAAACTCCCCAAACAGGCGAAAACCTACCAGTTTCACCCACTGTCTCTGGCACCTCCCTCCATGCCTGGTTCCTCCGGTTTGTATCCCGTTAATAGTTCTGGTCGTAAAGAACCGGGTGATTTGCTACCGTAATTTCTCATTTGGAATATGAGGAAATGCACTGCGGTCTGGTTCTCCCTGTGTGTGTGTTTCGCTGCGCTTACCTGTCCGTCAGGCGGAGCTGCAGGATTTCTGCTTCACGTTGCATACCGCTATTTTACTGTCTTTTTCGGACACCTTAAAATAATGCCAGACCGGTGAAGCCATTTTGGCGAGCTTGTTTTGCCGCGCACAGAGAAAAGTGTCATGTATTTTACGTCATGCGATCGGCTCTCGCGATCGGCATGTTTAGAGAGCACCGATCGATCGGTAGAGAGTGAGTATCGGCCGATATCGATCGGAGCATCCCTAATAATCAATATCATTTTCAATTTAGACGAGAACATTTGTTCCAGCTCAAATTATGCTACATGATCTTGTTTAACACAGATGGTCTGTATTGTGCAGTGTGCATTAGATAAGGGAAGCTGAATCAGTAAAAGGCAAACATTCAGATGAGACTCACTTGTTCGTTAAGACAGGTAAACAGTCAAGCAGCACCCCTGTGTCTTCAATTCTGTAAAACCACAAATGATTAAATGTTAAAGATGTTATTTGAATCAGAATTTAACACAAAAGCCAGCTGTCACTTGTGTTTTTACCTTATTAGGTAGGCCACTAATTCACTGGCGTTTCTACGCCATAACGTTTGAGCTACTTTTAGTCGGAGGCTCCTTCCAAAAAGGACTCGAGTCATCGCTTCGTGGTCCTTTGATATCTGAATGTAAAGAAAAACAATGCACAAAGGGCATTCAGTTAGTATCAGTGGAGCAGATGTATCAACCCCAAGAGAGATAAGCAAAAACAATTATCAGCGATAGATTTAAGATCTCACCTCTGTTAAATTGCTGTACTTGGAGCTGGCCTCTGCCATCTTGGAGGCCTCTGCGGAGTTCACAGGGAGCCCGCAGTTGTCGTTGAAGAGCATGCCCCGCACATCATCGGAGCACGTCAGCTCATTTTCTTTGTTGGCCATGCCGGGGTTACTGGCACAGCCTACATCTGAGGTTCTGCGGTGCAGCTTTAAGCCCACCTCCACCGATGGACAACCCTTCCTCTTGCAAGATGACAGTCTTTTCGCTTTTCCTTTGGTCTGTACTCTGTAATTGACTTGAAATCTGCCAAAAAAGACAGTCAATGTGAACCTGTTGCTAAGCTGTCATAGATGGATAAAACCATGAAATGTAAAAGCCACAGACAAGGAGATAATGTTTATGAAAAGGTGCTTTAATGATCCAGTGACTGAGAGGGTAGATCTGTGGGACACAGAGTGAGTGATTGCTCATAGTTAGATGAATCCAACAGATGTGGATCAGAGACTCACCTTTCTTTATCTAAATCTTCCTTATTTATATTATCCACCTAAAACGAAAGGATAGGGGATGAAGCCACCACTACAATCTCTACTTCTACAACACCACTGAACTCTACTTCACAGTCACCAGGATATGAGGAACACAATTGTTTACACAATAAGACATATTGCTCTTTCACATGTCCCTACCTGCTTCATGTTCTTTTCAGCAGAAGAATGCAGGCAGGATCGCAGAAAGCCATAAGGTTGATTTATTGACCTTTTAAGACTTCTTGATACCAGAGATGCTTACCAGCTTCCCCAACAAGAGACACTGTTGGACAAACAATGAGAGGAAAAAGTTGCAGTTACTTTCCGTGGCCTAATAACTGAACAGGTTAGCTCCCCCTCCAACAACATGTGATCGAGCATGTAGTAAAGAGGTTCAAAAAGACTAAAAGCAAACATTCAAATGGGATAAACAAAACCGCTATATTTGAGTTATAAAGGCGTTGGCTGATGCGATACAAGTTAGCTAGGTGAGCTAAAACTAATGTCACAACATGTTAATTTAGGTAGTAGGTTTTATGTTTTGCGACAAATTGGACATCCGACGGTTGGAGGAGAGCGTATTGTTACGTCCATTAGCTCAAAGTTAGCTTAGCTTGTTAGCTTTCAACTACAGTAGTTAGCTTATAGCTCTGCTATCAAGGATACACGGAGACGTTCAAAGTAACTAGCCGGGCCGCTAATGCAAGCTAGCTGGCTAGTTAGCCGTCAAAGTCAGGGAACATATGGCTTCAGCAATACTACTTTGTTTTCACAATTTAAACAGCGAAGTTAGATACCAACCGATTCATTTTGTGAAGACGCTTGAGGTCTCTTCAGGTGTGTAAATCCAAAATGTGAAAAACGGGTTAAACTCAAGAGCAACTCCTCTGTGTGTGCAGACCGTTTCAGACTGGAACCATTCAAAAGATACACCGCCGGTGTGTGGGGATTGTGGGATTGATTTTTGGCAAAGAAAAACTGCAGATTTAGCGACGACTGCTGGACATTACGAAACACATTTCTAAATCCTAATGTGCAGTGGTGCCATCCAGTGCCATGAAGAGTGTATTGCAGGAATGCATGCTATGTTTGCCTTATTAAGATAAAAATAACCCTTATTAAAATGCAGTTTTTGAAGAAGCAGGACAGCAATAGATACATTAATAATACAATCATTGTTTCATCAACCTGGTGTGAGCTGTTAACTGCTGCTATTAATCACCATCCTTGAAGCCTGCAATATTTTCTCATGAATAGTTTTCCATGTTTCCCCTATTCTTATTTTAGTGAAATATATTGGCCTACTCGTGTTCAAAAAAGTCTCATCTTGTCTTCTAATATGACATGTTACTTTATAAAGGATTATAGTAGCGTAAGTGAAATCGAATTACCTTAAAATCAACAGCACATTACAGTTTATGATTTAATATACTTTCCACCTCTGAGCATGCCACCGCGTGAAGCATGAAGAGACAACCAAATAGAAACAGGTTTATTGCCAAGTAGGTTTACACATAGGCTACGAGGACTTTGTCTTAGTATACATGGTGCATACGAGTTAAAGACGATAAAAAGTAAGAAGAACAAATATATATGGCTCTAAAAGCAATGATGTGATCCAGTCCTGTGTCCTCTTCGGTCTGTGGATATCTCCTAATCTCCTTAATTCTGTTAATAGGATTAATTGGACGTTAATCCAACATTGATTTTAAAGCAGCTATAATTAAATAATTAATTACTTTGAGTGTTTTTTTTCTTCATTAGAGTCGATTCAACTTTATTTTCATTGCAATAAGATACACTTGGAGTACAGGCACTACAACAATGCTTTTGAGCGTCTAACCAGAAGTGTAATAATATATATTTTTAAATAGTCTTTGAAATATTTGTTTATAATAGTACTATTTTCTGCAATTTTTTTCAATCTGTGTCCAAAGCAAATTCCTCATATTTGTAAACCTACTTGGTAATAAACCACATTATGGTCCTGATATGAATACAATAGATATATACAGTAGGAACCTATAAAGCAGTTGACTATATTTTCCCTTCTTTTTCCTTTTAAACCCAGAAATGCTTACTTCTGAAACGATAGTGAAAAAACTGTGCGTGTCTTATAACACTCCTAAATAATTGGTAGGTGCTTTGACAGGCAGTAGAACAAAAATAAACATGTTTAGAGAGTTATAAACAATTATATATTGCATTAAGTTGACCTGAGTCTACCTGCTTTTTGAGCTGTAAACATGCTTTTCTTGGTTTATTGTGACACACAATGCATTTTATTTGTGCTGTTTACAAAGATTTTCCGTACACATCATTCATATTTTCGGAGTCTCACAAAATAATGATCTGATCCTTTGGTCACGATACGGCACCCCAAGCAATGTTCCTTAAAAAGGAAACACAAGTCAAATATGGAGGCAAAGCAACATCATGTTTTCAGCGCCTCCAACCGATGTGGTCTAATTCAAAACTCTTTTTGCTTTTCTGGGTCTTCACGTCCACTTCCCAGCAGGGCTTTGAGCGGAGTTTGATTTGTAGATAAATATTGACCGTTTACAGCTTGTGAATTTATCTGAGCACTGTTCAGTCTGCTGTAGGCAATATTTAGTTTTAATTCAGCTTTATGATTCCTGACAATACACACCTGCCCAGCACACGCTCTCCTTCAGAAATTGAATAATATAAGACTTTTGCTTGTGAACATCTGCTAACAATTTGTGTGCTGAAGAAGCACACGCATAACACAGCACAGAAATACAATACAACATATTTTTTATTATTTTGATGAGCCAGTCTGAGTCTTCAATCAATGAAAATAAGAAAGTACCCAATAAAGAACCATAACATGTTCAAATGTGGTGAGAATAATTATTATTCATATGTAGGACCTCTGTGGTTTCCCCCTCTCTTTATACAATCAATATCTCATTCAGAACCTATCAAAAGGTTACATGCTTGATTAGTATTGACATTTTGGGATATAAGCTTATCTGTTTTTTCAAGAGTAAGATAGAGACATTGATACCAAGCTCTAAGGAGATGATGGTGCCATACTCTCAAAATAATGGAGTAAATGAGGCTATTCTGCCGACTCGGACACAACAGTATATATTGCATGTTGTCTAGCCTCGGATGGCTGTTCACCCTTGATTTAGTACTTTTTCTCTGAAGTTACTTTTCACAATATCTTTGATTCCATCCGGCTGAGTTAGTGTTTTTTTTTGCATTTGATACAAACGAGACATTTCCTGGCATGTTTTGAATAGACTGAGACACTTAGCGGGCAGCGTAAAGGCCAACAATTACAAACCAATTCTGAGTGATTCCCTTCATCCCATTCGTCAAGCCTTTCAAGCAAAACACCCAAAATCAATTTTTTTACTTGTAAAATCTAGGCCAAAACCTAGAAAAATAACTCGTAGTGATCCAACACCTAATTCTTTATTTCGGTTACTTGCAATTACTTTTTGTTCAAAATCATGGCTGTCTCTGTCCTCAGACAGCCACAGAAATGAAAATGTCTGGTGGCTGTTTTGGTTTAAGGACCAACCCAAACATACCAATTCTTGGAGTTACAAGTAAAAATAAACCACTGAAGGAGACATTCAAATAATCGTGCTTTTGGTGTACGAAGATCATCCAAACAAAATGCTCCTGTTGTTTGATGGAAGAATAATTTGATTTGTTAAATTGCTGGTTAAACTTTGTCAGTGGCAGTCCAAGGACAAGATCAGTCTGGAGGGACATTGTTAACATCTGACGTGGCATCACAAATTTTTTGTTGTTGTTATAAACACACGGTTACCGGCAGAAGTAAAGGTCAATTAGGGATCAGCAAGACTCCGATTCTACAGCTGTGCATGGAGGTCGACTTGCAACCTGGAAACTTTAACTAAATATATACAACTTAGTTTGTGATAAGGGTGTCTGAAATAAAAACTAAGCCCTGACTATTTATTCCTTGAATGTAACCTATATTTTATGTATAGATTTATTAATCTTGTGTTGTACAATGATGTTAACTCTCGCAAGCCACAAACATTAAAATATCCCATCTCCACCTTCAGGAATTTAGGACTGTTGCATAAGATCAGAATCAGAATCAGAAGCAGGTTTATTACCAGGTAGGTTTACACTTACGAGGAATTAGATGCACAGGATGCATCTAGATGCATTGTGTCCACCCCTTGCACAGTACTTCATATGTACATGTTAGTCATTGCAGAGGGATTCATTTTTGTTTTGAAACAAATTACTATACAGATGTTTTAGCTTAAAATTAAGGCAGATTTAATTACAGTAACTAAGTAATGCAATTGAAGTTGAACCCTGAACAATTTAGCAGAGCATGCCTTCTATTTTTGAGAAAAGAAAAATATGATGTACCAGAAAAAAAGGGTCTAAAATCCATAAAAAGACAAGAAGTACATTTTAATATGCACATTCAAAACAGTCAGACACACTTTATGAGCCATTAGAAATTGATTATTTATGCATCCAAGATACACTTCTTTAAACTGAAGCCAAAATCACACTGTGCTCGTTTCCGTCCACTGGGACTTCAAACATATTTTTTTGAAAACAAGTTAGAGATAAATCTAATTTTCTCAGACAAAAGCTACCACCCACAAAGTCGGTAAGAGTCTTAGAAGATTTAAATAAGCGAGGAAGGATTAATATGACAAGGGTTCCTGCAGATGAAAACAGTGCTTGTTAGAAATGTAAGATGGAATTACTCTGAAGTAAAAATGATCTTTTATTTAGAAAATGTTAAGTCTCTCTTAGCAGGATGTGCTTATTTCTAAGAAGCAGCATGACTTGTTGCAGAAAACCGTTTAGTTTTAAGTGAAACAAGAATGAAATGTTGTTTATGCCACTTTATTATTATTTTAACAAGCTAATTGATGAAATGGGTGTCTGGCATGAACGCCAAGAGCTCCTGCTTAGTCTTTAGCATACACATGTTAAATAACCAGGTACAATCATCATAGAAGTGTGGAAATGTTAGCAGTAATCAGACCTAATGGACATTTCATTTCAAGAGCCAGCCAGAGTGGAAATTAACCAAAATGATTTGCTAAATTAGCCACTGGGTAATTAGCTTTTTAAATGAGCATTAATAATAATAATAAATTGTATTTTTATAGCACTTTTCTCGAACCCAAAGACGCTTTACATTTGGGGAAGGGTAGACAAACAAGGACAGGCAATACACAAAAAAAAAGGCAAGGTAAAATTAAGGTACTCAGCTCTCCAAATGAGCTGATATCATTTGACAAACTAAATAAATAAACACAACAAATTGAATACACAACTGTCTTCCCATAGTTGTAATTTGAATGTTTTATTCTGCTTAAAACTATTACACTACAGGAAAGAGAAAGAGAAAACTTCAAAAGCACAATAGGGCCTCTTAAGGTATAAGTTATCAAACGCTGCTGTTTGCTTTAATAACAAATAACCACCAATCATTGAGGCTCCTAACCCACTACTTTTAGTTTCCTACAGAGTAAAGTCCTCCCTATATGAAACCAGATCCATCATCTAAAGTCAACATAAAGCCCTTCACAAAGTGTGAAACAGTGGAAGCTATTAACAAGTTGAAGCTCAGAGCTCCTTCGCCTTGGGACCAACAACAAACAACCAAACTAATCTGCTGCTTTCTTTTATCAAGAGAGGGACACGGTGCTGAAGACCAATCAACTTTGCTCCCTAATCTGTCTTTTCCTGTCCCCCGAGCTCCTTCCCTCTCATAAAAGCCTCAGATCAGCGAGTGAAAACGCTCTGGCATGTAGCCCTTGCATTACTTGTAGCCCCCAGAGCTTAATGTGGGTAATTGTGTTGACATTATGTAAGACTGTTTTGAGAGGTGTTTCACACACACAGCATCTCTGTTCTCAGAGCGGCCCTCTGAAGATTCGGGGGTCTTCGTCCACAA